ATTGAATTATTTATTTATTTTTGCTAACGTTTGTTGTTTCTAGGGGACAGGGTGTTGTTTATATGTTTGTATACAGTATTAAAGAATCTGCCTGTTCAGGTTTATAGTTTTGTGCTTTTGTTACTAGAGGTGACTGCTCTTTGGAGACACGGCCGCGAGTACATAGCAGATTCTGAAGATGAAGGGCGGAAGAACTTCAAAGGCAGGGTGTGTATGCTCTGAATGTACGTCACAAATATCTTAAAGGGAATGACAGTTGGACCCTGTGTGCAGATAGTCAAAGAAACTTGGGCCTGTTTAAACAAACAGATCAGATGAAGACCTGGGCTGTCGGTTGATTTTGTTTGTTTTAAGTTATTGATGTGCTGTTAACTGATGCTTACATCTATCAGACAGGGTGAGAAGTTTGTAACACTCTGAAAACTTCATCTCTTTTTGTTTCCTGACCCCAGCTGTTTGAGAAGCGCTACTACAAGACCAAACACGGCTCTTATATTCCCACCCTCAGGGAGTTCTGGAAGCCCGGCATGACCCGAAGAGACGTGCTGCTGGCTGTTGGCAAACGCAGGTGATCAAAGGGACTTTCAAATGCACCGTCAGCTGTCTGCAGAAGAAATATTAGTGAGCTTTGACCATGTTGTGTTTTTCTCCATGCCACGTTGAAAACAAACCCAGGCTGGTAGAAATACTGCAGCTCATGGACAATAACGTCAGATTATCTCTGGTTAAATGGTTTTTATGGAAAACTGATTACAAACTGTTAGGTAAATTAGGTTTTATTATAAAAGCATTTACTTGATCTTTTGTTTTTACTTTGCCACCAACATGYATCTCTTATGTACACATTGTTTTTAATATTTTTACTTATTAAAGTTTTACAAATAAATACAATCATAGGTTTTTAATTATTCTTTATAATTTTGACATTGAGTCTGCATTAGCAAACACTTCATTTACTTAATGAAGAAATAAAGCTTGTTACAAATAATTGCTTTAATTTTTTATTTACCTTTATTAAGGACCGTCTTGCTGTGAGGCACTGCTGCTCAGTGGTTAGCACTGATTATTATATTTTGTTTTTCTATTGATTTTATACAGCTTTAGTTGTCACCTTTAATTTCAACTTGGCTAAATATAAAAAAAATCTTTCTTAAATGTAAATCTTCACCATATTTTTGGAAAATCCTATGATTTTTATAATGCAGCTACAAAGACTAGATTTCAAAGTATCTATTCTGGAGATTTTTATATAAAAATTGTCATTGCAATCTTGACGTGCCTTACTATAGACTAAGATATTCCACTCTGCATTTCTTCAGTTCAACCCTTTTAGCTCTTGATGTTTACATCGAAATAAGACAACACAAAGATTTAAGTGATAAAACAAAGGAGTGATACTGCAGCTGATAATGTCCTAATATTCAATCACAAAGCATATTTTCTAATAAACTTTATTTCATATCTTAATGTCTGCAGTTTTTGTGCTTTTAAACCAAAACCTTCAGTTCTTGGTTTATGAGTTTCATCTTTTATGTTAGCCATTTTAGTTTTCTTCTGTGTGTTCTGAACATCCAAAATGGACTGAAAAGTTCATAAACAGCGGGTAAAATAAGTATTGAACACGTCAACATTTTTCTCAGTAAATATATTACTAGAGGTGCTAATGACATGAAA